CAGAAGGGTCATACTAGATTTTTAGACATTATTATAAAATATCCAAAAAAAATGAGTAAATATAAATATAGACATATCATACATCATTTAATAGAGGGTTAAATTCTAAGCATTTTGAATAACACCTAAGGTTTTTATCATCAATTATTACAACAAAAATGTGGAGATAATTTTTCAAAAAATACATCTTCACTTTTTTACAATATCCCCCCACTATTTACTTTTTTTTTTAAATTTATAAAATATTTTTATGACCACCCCTGAGAAGAGACAACCTATTTCTGAAGGGTCATAATGTGGAAGCAAAAATGATCCTTTAATAAAGTATCCTTTTTGCTTTTTTTTCTAAAAAATTGTTAAATGCAGGATGTTGTATACTATTAATAAAAAAAATTTTAGACGACAATTGTTTAGTATAACTGAGAACACATTTATGATGAATCATGCCAACTTTTACTCATTAATTTAAAATCTTGAATAATCTAATCATTCTGTATCTAACTAAAGTTTCAATTCTCTCTTAAAAACAAGAAGAATAACAATGTTATTTATGGCAACTCTTTATGAAAAATATCACATTAAAAGGAGAGTGAAAACATATTCCATTCTCTAAATAGCAGGATGAAAAATTACAATTATTTGTTCTCAAAATTAAAGTTTAACAAGAAAAATATATAATTGAACTCAAATTTAGTAATAATTCAATATTCCTATAAAATAAAAATGTTCTATATTATTAAAAAATCTAGTAATGCAGGTATTGAAATGAATTCTAAATAGCATCGTTAACATCCACTAAAATCAATTCCATATCTACACAAAGTCCTAACTTCTATTTTACAGAAATGCACAAGATACTTTTAGCGATTTTGCAGTATATAAATTAAAGTTAGAGTAATAGAAATTCAATATTTAAGATAATGAATTGCACTTATCATATCAACAGTCCAATATCTTTGATATGTATAGCTCCTCATAAGTGCTAATGCTAAAGGAAACTTTGTGTAAAATGCCTATATGAACACGGATTGGATTTGAAATATGCCATTCCAATTGATATATTTCAAGAAATGGCCATCAAGAAATTAAAAGACTCCAAGCTTGATGATAACTCAGAACTAACAAAATAGAGAATGGCCTTCAAATCCTTAATCTCTCAAACCGATTAAAAGTTGAAGAAAATATGGGAGGAGTTGTCACAATCAATCTAATAAGTATACGATTGGATTGATAAGGAAAACCAATCTTACTTAAATCTCATCAAGGAAAATACGAATCTAGCTGAATCCTCCTACACTGATATAGAAAAATTAGTCAAAATTGTAGAAGGAACAACTTTAATAGATTGGAATGCTTCGAAGAATTCTTATATGAAGGAGTTAGATAAGACCAATAGCTGGTGGGATCAATATATAAAGGCTTTTATTGAGAAGTGTAATTAAGGAATCCAATAGATCCAATCATTAATTAAGTAACTTTTTAGTTCATATCCTTAGAATTCAACCTGAAGAAGAAGTCGAAGTATATTAAGTGAAAGAAAATTTATATGAGATACTAACCTACATCTTGGATATAGATGGATCTCTTTATTAGAAGATTTATGATATACTTAGATAAGAGAAAGTTTCAGACATTATTGGATTCTTGTCAAAGACAAACAATGATCAGTTTTATGAATCTTTAATCAAGAAGTAAGAGAATGTAAAGGATGCCAAGAAGTAAGTAAAGAAAATCACAAATGTCTTGAGAAATATTTAGGAACATAAATTTAGCAAGGATGACTATTCTTCTGAGAATTATGAAAAGGAAATAGCCGATATGATCAATAGGATGAAGGATAACAAAGGGATCACAGATTTCATCAAATTTTTAGTACGATTAACAGGCATAGATGTAAAATTTATTCAATCAGGATCAAATGGATTGAATTTATTGGTAGAAATGAAGGTAGATATTAGGAACCAATCCTTTGAGAATATCAGAATAAAGAATACCTCTTTAGTTGGAGGAAATTTTGTAAGATGTAATATGAATGGATCAGAATTTGAGAATGTGGATATTAGCGGAGTCAATTTTAATGGAGCTTAGATGTTCAATTGTAAATGGAAGAACATAAAAGTCCATGAATTGAATAGGTTGGATGGCCATAGTAGTTGTGTTAGATCAGTCTGTATTTCTCCTGATGGAAATACATTAGCTTCTGGTAGTGATGATAAGTCTATCCGTCTATGGGATGTCAAAACAGGATAATAAAAAGCCAAATTAGATGGTCATAGTAATTATGTTAGATCAGTCTGTTTCTCTCCTGATGGAAATACATTAGCTTCTGGTAGTGATGATAAGTCTATCCGTCTATGGGATGTCAAAACAGGATAATAAAAAGCCAAATTAGATGGTCATAGTAATTGTATTAACTCAGTCTGTTTCTCTCCTGATGGAAATACATTAGCTTCTGGTAGTGATGATAAGTCTATCCGTCTATGGGATGTCAAAACAGGATAATAAAAAGCCAAATTAGATGGTCATAGTAGTTATGTAAATTCAGTCTGTTTCTCTCCTGATGGAAATACATTAGCTTCTGGTAGTGATGATAAGTCTATCCGTCTATGGGATGTCAAAACAGGATAATAAAAAGCCAAATTAGATGGTCATAGTAGTTATGTAAATTCAGTCTGTTTCTCTCCTGATGGAAATACATTAGCTTCTGGTAGTGATGATAAGTCTATCCGTCTATGGGATGTCAAAACAGGATAATAAAAAGCCAAATTAGATGGTCATAGTAGTTATGTAAATTCAGTCTGTTTCTCTCCTGATGGAAATACATTAGCTTCTGGTAGTGATGATAAGTCTATCCGTCTATGGGATGTCAAAACAGGATAATAAAAAGCCAAATTAGATGGTCATAGTAGTTATGTAAATTCAGTCTGTTTCTCTCCTGATGGAAATACATTAGCTTCTGGTAGTGATGATAAGTCTATCCGTCTATGGGATGTCAAAACAGGATAATAAAAAGCCAAATTAGATGGTCATAGTAGTTATGTAAATTCAGTCTGTTTCTCTCCTGATGGAAATACATTAGCTTCTGGTAGTGATGATAAGTCTATCCGTCTATGGGATGTCAAAACAGGATAATAAAAAGCCAAATTAGATGGTCATAGTAGTTATGTAAATTCAGTCTGTTTCTCTCCTGATGGAAATACATTAGCTTCTGGTAGTGATGATAAGTCTATCCGTCTATGGGATGTCAAAACAGGATAATAAAAAGCCAAATTAGATGGTCATAGTAGTTATGTAAATTCAGTCTGTTTCTCTCCTGATGGAAATACATTAGCTTCTGGTAGTGATGATAAGTCTATCCGTCTATGGGATGTCAAAACAGGATAATAAAAAGCCAAATTAGATGGTCATAGTAGTTATGTAAATTCAGTCTGTTTCTCTCCTGATGGAAATACATTAGCTTCTGGTAGTGATGATAAGTCTATCCGTCTATGGGATGTCAAAACAGGATAATAAAAAGCCAAATTAGATGGTCATAGTAGTTATGTAAATTCAGTCTGTTTCTCTCCTGATGGAAATACATTAGCTTCTGGTAGTGATGATAAGTCTATCCGTCTATGGGATGTCAAAACAGGATAATAAAAAGCCAAATTAGATGGTCATAGTAGTTATGTAAATTCAGTCTGTTTCTCTCCTGATGGAAATACATTAGCTTCTGGTAGTGATGATAAGTCTATCCGTCTATGGGATGTCAAAACAGGATAATAAAAAGCCAAATTAGATGGTCATAGTAGTTATGTAAATTCAGTCTGTTTCTCTCCTGATGGAAATACATTAGCTTCTGGTAGTGATGATAAGTCTATCCGTCTATGGGATGTCAAAACAGGATAATAAAAAGCCAAATTAGATGGTCATAGTAGTTATGTAAATTCAGTCTGTTTCTCTCCTGATGGAAATACATTAGCTTCTGGTAGTGATGATAAGTCTATCCGTCTATGGGATGTCAAAACAGGATAATAAAAAGCCAAATTAGATGGTCATAGTAGTTATGTAAATTCAGTCTGTTTCTCTCCTGATGGAAATACATTAGCTTCTGGTAGTGATGATAAGTCTATCCGTCTATGGGATGTCAAAACAGGATAATAAAAAGCCAAATTAGATGGTCATAGTAGTTATGTAAATTCAGTCTGTTTCTCTCCTGATGGAAATACATTAGCTTCTGGTAGTGATGATAAGTCTATCCGTCTATGGGATGTCAAAACAGGATAATAAAAAGCCAAATTAGATGGTCATAGTAGTTATGTAAATTCAGTCTGTTTCTCTCCTGATGGAAATACATTAGCTTCTGGTAGTGATGATAAGTCTATCCGTCTATGGGATGTCAAAACAGGATAATAAAAAGCCAAATTAGATGGTCATAGTAGTTATGTAAATTCAGTCTGTTTCTCTCCTGATGGAAATACATTAGCTTCTGGTAGTGGTGATTAGTCTATCCGTCTATGGGATCTAAAAACAGGATAAGAAATTAAATCCTCTGATAAAAACTACAAAGATATTCTTGCATAATTAAAAATTCCGCTCTAATAAAATAGTGCAATATAAGAAGGTAATATTAATTTTTTTGATATTTTAAGCCTCCATTTACATCACTACACTCCTTTTATCCTAATAGGCCATATTTTAAGCATAAGGAGCACTAATTTTGAGAGGAGAGTTTATTAATCAATCAGGTATAGACTTAAAGACATTGTTTAAACAAAAGGGTAGCTGTATTTTGGAAGACCAATTAGACTGCAATAAAAAATGAAAATGATTTAATAAGTTAGCATAATTTATATCTATATCAACTCTATTCAATATTTTTTTCACCATTTTTTTTTTATCTTTAAATGGTCAAGTTAACTTTTTCTGCTCAATCTATTTTCATAATTACTTCATATTCTCTATTAAGATAATAGTAAAATTGTAATCATGTCCTATTATTAATTATAAATTCTAAAAATGATTAATTTGTAAATAGTTAATTTGTAATTATTAAGCTAAAATGGGTATTTTTTCAAAATTATATTTCTTTTTCTTTCAATTTCACATTCTTATTTCTTTATAATTAATTAAACATAAACAATCTTTCAAGAGAATCAATTAAAAATGATTAATCATATATAAATATAATTAGTAATCATTTATATTATGAATATAAGAAAGAAGCTTATATTTGGGAATTGATTAAAAATATTTCAATGTAATGAATTATCCTCTATTGTTTATTATGATGATACAATTACAGAAAAAGTATCGCTTGTGCTTTTTAAATCATCTGCTAATTCAGGATCAAATGCTCTTTGCTAACCTATTATTTTAATAATCTAAACTAACTAGATTATTCACATATTAGTATGATTACAATTGGATTAGCCATTTCTAGCACTATTCAGATTTAATTCTTTTTTCTAATGGCTTCATAATACATTTTATTTCTGAGTAAATTTATTAAAAAATCCTATTGGATCATTCTAAACAATCTCAAGTTTAAATAGATAAAATTAAAGCAAGACTGCAATTAAAAAATCAATTAATAATATTATAAGTTGTAATTTTATATTATTTCAAAAATAAAAATCTAAATTGTTTATTAAATTTATTTATAAATTCACTTTTATTAAAATGGTTGCAACTCCCTAAGAGTAAACTTTTGCAATCTATCTTCTTTTTCACTCATTAGTAAACCCTTAAAATAATATTACATTTGATACCTTAACTAGGGGACAAGTTTATATTCTTTTAAATTGATTCCTCTGTTGCTTCAATCAAATTATCAATACTCAGCGCATCATTTTTACATTCATCTAGTCATTATTTTGAAATTTGTTTTATCCCATAAAAAAAAGATGTCTAACTTTAAATACAATTTTCATTTTTTTCTTATTTAATATTGACTCTTTTCTTATTAAAAAATCTAATCCATTTTAACTTTATTTATTTTATGCTCTTAATTATTGATTCACAATTAATATTTTTCTTTTTAATTTCTTCATCTATTTTTGATAAGCTGGTTTACAGATAGTTTACCAATCAATTGATTAATAAAATATTTATAATTTGATAAAGATAGATATTGAAAAATGCAAAAATATAAGAAATTATATTTAAATATTATTAAGACTAATTTAATAATGGAAAAAGCAAATAATTATTATTCAATTATTAATTAAAATGATCATTACCCACATTCGAATTTGAATTCACAGTTTTTTATTTCAGTCCCATCTTTATTAGTTGCAGTTGCATATATACAAGTAGTGCCAAATAATAAGGTAACTTTTACAGTTTTATCTTCAACAGATTATAATGGTTTTCCAATATCGATACACAATTCTCCTAACTATTAAACTCCTTATTCATCAACAAACTCTACTTCTCTTTTCTCAGTTACATAAAAGATGATTCTCATAATTGTCTACCTAGATCTGACAGGGCAATATNTATATTATGAATATAAGAAAGAAGCTTATATTTGGGAATTGATTAAAAATATTTCAATGTAATGAATTATCCTCTATTGTTTATTATGATGATACAATTACAGAAAAAGTATCGCTTGTGCTTTTTAAATCATCTGCTAATTCAGGATCAAATGCTCTTTGCTAACCTATTATTTTAATAATCTAAACTAACTAGATTATTCACATATTAGTATGATTACAATTGGATTAGCCATTTCTAGCACTATTCAGATTTAATTCTTTTTTCTAATGGCTTCATAATACATTTTATTTCTGAGTAAATTTATTAAAAAATCCTATTGGATCATTCTAAACAATCTCAAGTTTAAATAGATAAAATTAAAGCAAGACTGCAATTAAAAAATCAATTAATAATATTATAAGTTGTAATTTTATATTATTTCAAAAATAAAAATCTAAATTGTTTATTAAATTTATTTATAAATTCACTTTTATTAAAATGGTTGCAACTCCCTAAGAGTAAACTTTTGCAATCTATCTTCTTTTTCACTCATTAGTAAACCCTTAAAATAATATTACATTTGATACCTTAACTAGGGGACAAGTTTATATTCTTTTAAATTGATTCCTCTGTTGCTTCAATCAAATTATCAATACTCAGCGCATCATTTTTACATTCATCTAGTCATTATTTTGAAATTTGTTTTATCCCATAAAAAAAAGATGTCTAACTTTAAATACAATTTTCATTTTTTTCTTATTTAATATTGACTCTTTTCTTATTAAAAAATCTAATCCATTTTAACTTTATTTATTTTATGCTCTTAATTATTGATTCACAATTAATATTTTTCTTTTTAATTTCTTCATCTATTTTTGATAAGCTGGTTTACAGATAGTTTACCAATCAATTGATTAATAAAATATTTATAATTTGATAAAGATAGATATTGAAAAATGCAAAAATATAAGAAATTATATTTAAATATTATTAAGACTAATTTAATAATGGAAAAAGCAAATAATTATTATTCAATTATTAATTAAAATGATCATTACCCACATTCGAATTTGAATTCACAGTTTTTTATTTCAGTCCCATCTTTATTAGTTGCAGTTGCATATATACAAGTAGTGCCAAATAATAAGGTAACTTTTACAGTTTTATCTTCAACAGATTATAATGGTTTTCCAATATCGATACACAATTCTCCTAACTATTAAACTCCTTATTCATCAACAAACTCTACTTCTCTTTTCTCAGTTACATAAAAGATGATTCTCATAATTGTCTACCTAGATCTGACAGGGCAATATATTTTTGTATGAACTTCATCACAACTAATGATAAATTTAAAAACTATACCCAACAGCATCTCCTTTCCTAACAAAAGCATCAAACACATCCTCACTAAATTCTTCTCCTTCTATAATTACTTTTTTTTTAATCGGATGTCTTTCAGCATCAAAAGTTGTTAAAGTATTAATTCCATAAGTTTTCTTTGCTATTCTACTTGTAATTGATCTTGGACTCAATCCAAATAAACAAGCCCCTCTTATAACAGAAACTTAAGGTCTTCTTGGTACCAAAATTTATATTGTATTATTTTCGAATCTCTTAATTATTTCTTACTTCAAGAATGGAGATTCACTAAAACCTCCAACCATAAATATAAAGTTTACTTTTTCTTTTTTCTATTCAACTTGAACTAATAATTAAGCAACTTTATTTTTTATATTTTCAAATAGTGTCTAAAAGAATGAAGCCATTAAAGCTGATGGAATTTCAACATTTGATAATCCTTTTAATTTTACTTAATATTCAGGAGGATGTTTTTGATTATGATCCTTAACTAATTATGACAATTTATTTGTGTTTAATTCTTCTCCCAAATAAGAGAATTTTATCATGCATTTTTCATCCTTATTACCTTTGAATTTCCTTTTCAATATTTCAAAATCTCTTAAAATATCTAAACGAGCAATAGCATTTTGTTAATATGATCTAAATAATTTATCACCCAAAAATTCCTTCAAAAATTCTTCAAAATAGAGATCAACATATTTGGACCCCCACTCACATCCACCAGATGATGGTATTAATTCATTACATAAATATTTTTCTTTTGGCTCGCATAATAATTTATGAACTGTAATATCAACAGTACCGCCTCCACAATCCAATACCATTACAACAGAGTTTTTTTCCATTTATTCCTTTAATGTTTATTCAGCATCCTCTCTACATTGAATTGATGCACCTTCTGGTTCTAAACAAAGTAATAAATTTGGTGAATTTAAGTGATCAACTATACCTGCTTCAACAGCTGCCTTTCTCATAAATTATTTATGTTCTTCACTCCACAAAGCTGGAACTGTTAATACCCATCTAATTTTTGTAGGTATTACTTTTCCTACCTATTCTTTTAATTTTTATATTGCTTTATTGCATATATATTTTAATGTTTCCTTTATTATTAACATTAATGATAGCTCACGATTATCTAATGACCTAGCTTGATTATGCATATGATACAAATGCATTTTATACTAAGAATTTTATAATTATTTTTTTACATTTTAAAACAAATGGGCTGTTTCACCATCATCAAGCATGCTTGCATATTTTTATAGTGCTTAAGATCCAAATTCAATAAATTAACCATTATTATCAAATAGAATTGCAGTTGGTGTTTTTTGATCATCTGTATCATCACATGGATTGAAAACCTCAATTCTTGGTTTGCCTTCTTTATCTAAAATTCTTGGAGCTAATCCAAATCTAAAATAATTACTCTCATATTATACCCTGATGCTCCAGTTCCAAAATCTATTGCAATTACATGAGTAAATGCAGTATCGTCTTTTAATAAAGCCATTTTTATTAACTGTAAATTGTGATTTAAATTTAAAATATAAAAATAAATGTTGTAACAGCATGATTTAAATATGAAGAATAATTGTGCCAAAGAAAATTACTAAAAACCTTCAGATTATTTGGATGGAACATAAGAAGAATTGAAAGGGAAAATAAAACTATTGATGAATAAGTTACAATTAACTAAGAAAGAAAAAGAGAATCTAACTAAAGAAAATTAGAATTTATAGCATGAAATACTATAAATGCAATCTCATCTCAGATGCATGGTATCTGGCTTTTCAAACACTAGTATCTAATTTCCAATGGCAAATGAATTAAGTAATTCTATTGCAGAATTTTATAAATGTGAATGTTTTGATATATTTTTCGATGTGTTGACTTAAGAATTAAATCTCAAAGGTATTATTTATTTTTTTTCTTCTTCTATGATTCGAATAGACAAAATCATTCAAGAATACTTTTCACCATTGTTCAAAAATATTATGGAGGTAATATTATAAAAATTATCTTTAGGTGGGATGTTTCACAAATATAGATGGACCAATATTAAATGTAATGAGGAAATCATTTTAAGGAAATTATAAATCAATTTATGAAAAATGTATGCGAAATCAATCATCTATCAGAATAGAATTATAAAAATACCTAAAATTAAATAACAACAATTTGATTGAAGCTTTTTTCAATAAATTATCAGAAATTATGTTTAATTGTTACATTAGTGATCCTACATTAACATTTGATATATAATCTATTGGGTAGAAAGTAACATTTAATTAATCAAAACATGACCCTATTGATGGATTTATTAAGAATAAAGAAGAATGCATAATCTTGATGCCAGCAGTATATAAAAATTAAGAATTAATGGCTAAATCTTTGGTGATATCCTATTCATATTAATTAGAAAACAATTGAAAACTATTAAATAATTAAAATTATTAATCATTCATAATTTATTTGATCTTATAGTATAATTTAATCTTGTTCTTATTACTAATTCAATTTTTATTCCAATTCTTCCTTGTCTTCCTGTAATACTTAAAATTATGACTATTTCTGATCCTCCTTCTCCACCTCTTCTATTTTCGATAATGTATGATGATGTTCAATATTTGGTTATTCAATTCTATATCATCAACATTTTATGTAAAATAAAATATTATTATATTAGATAGTCATGCTATCAGAATTTACTGTAGGCTATATATTAGTTTATCAAAAGAATCGAAACTCATTACTATTTATCATTGTTATAATAAAAAAACAATTGTCAATTAAATTAGATGGTAAATCTATTATTTTGACGCCTATGAATTTTAAGATATTCAAGTATTGTTATTCATAAAAAAAATTCTTTTAAATTCTGGAAGAAAGGGTAAATCTATTTTTCATAAATATAAAAGTTTAGTTTTAGATTTAAAAGTTTAAACGGATAAAAAATTATAGCATTCTACAATTTAATAATTTGAGATCTTTAATTTTTGAGTTCAAAATGAAAAAGTTCATTAAAAGAGAATAACATCTAATAATTTGATTCTGATCAAATTGATAAGCTATAACAGCGACACATATAATAATTTTGGCTGTTATTTATATTAAACTTACTTAATTACTATTAGCAATAAAGGTATATATCAAAGCTACTATAAAGGAAGATGAAAATTAATATATCTGTTATTGGTTACTTGAAGATCGATAATACATTCGAGATTGTGAAATTGTAAACTTAGAATAATATTAGATCAACAAGTAATTAAAGAGCTTCAAGTAGAAGAGTATAAAAATTGTAAGAATTTTTAAACAAGGTGAAATTGAATTATATAAGTGGATAATATTTTTTACAAGAAACCAAACCAATATAGATTCGTTTCATTTAGAATTCAGTTATGATTTATCTAAACATGAAGATAAAATTTTTGATAATTAGTGGAGGATTAAGCTCAAGTCAAAAATTTACAAAAATAACACACCATTAAATAATCCTAAAAATTGATAAACAAAAATTAAAAAATTAAAAACAATAAATATTTTAATTTTTCAAACCAATTTGATATTTTTTCTCAATTCTAATTTAGGACATTTATTAAGCTTCAAATTGAGTTAGATATAGATAATTTGATAGAATATCTATGAGTAATACTGATTAAACAATATTTTCTTTCTGAAAAGTTTGAACTAATTATACTTTAATCTATAACAAATCGTTTTCTGTAGCATATATTTTCATAATCAAAATAATTTTATTCTATTTTAATCAATATTCATATATAATTATAATTTATATGTATGCTTTTTGTTATGGTTTAAACACTATATTATGAAATTCAATATTTTTTTTTTATATTAATAATCATTAAAATAAAAAATTTGGTATTTTTTAGAATGATAGAGAATTTCAAAGGCTATGTATTTGATGGCCTTAGGATGAATTTGCATAAAAAAATGTATAATGGATACATATTTATGAAAAACTAAAATGAAATGCCGATAAATATATTTAAAAATACACTGATCTTAATAATTAATAAGAAGGAACTGTTACTTTTAGAGAATTTATAAATAAATTAATATGTATATGATGGAAGACTGAATAATACAAAGTCATATTATTTAATAGAAAGGAATATAGTAACTGAATATTTAAACTTTAATATTTGGTATATTTAATCTTATCCATGTTTTAATTGTGATCATTTATATTTCATAACAATAAATCTTAAAAAATTAAAAACTAAATGCAAATTAATCTATTTTGAATATACAAAAATCTTCAATTATCGAAAAAAATTAAAAAAACAATGAAATCAATTTAATCTTTTGAAAAATAGGTTATATATGGAAGATCTTTTTTTATAAAATAATTTTATTTAAGAAAGAGATATAATCAAGTTTATTCTAAATTTTAAACATTAATAATAATAAAATTTTATTGATACATGAGTAAATATTTCTGTATATTTCTTCTGAAGAATTTTAAGTATAAACAAAGTTTTTCTATTTTTTTGTTGGTTCGATTCTAATATGCCTTTCTATAATGGATTAATTTAAAAATTTTTAAGATTTTCAAATTAATAAGGGGTGGCCAAACAAATTTTAGGTATTTCTCGATAAATTGTATTTCTTTTCATATTTTTTTCCTATTATAAATAAAAATGTTAAAGGAAGTTTTTGTTAAATTTGCTTTTAGACTGATTAGCAATTCAATTACAGTTGAATAAGAGTATGAAGTAAGTCAGTAATTGATTAATTTTTTTGGCTTGTTAGGAGCATTACTTCCATTCTCATATGCAGTGGTTCCTAATTATAAAATATTTTTTGGAGATGAGTCTTTTATTTTCCTAGCAAAATTAGTACGACCATATTTGTTTTTCAATCATTAAGAAGTAACTTAAGGGTTATTATCATACATATTTTATTTTGGAATTTTAATATCCTTAATTAACATAGGTCTATAAGGAGCTAATACTTAATATTTGATTAAATTGAATCATAAATTTTCACTAATCAGCAGGACAGCATTTTTGATGAATTAAATATTTGATGTTTATCTCTTTAATATTATTGTCGAAGTAATATTATTACAAGAAAAAGCATACTCTTATATTATAACGAGCATATACTGTTGTATTTTATTTTATAGAATTGCATTGACAAAAGTTAGTATAATATTTAAATATCATACTTTTAATCATTAGAATTAGTCATTTTATTATTATTGCATCCAAATTTTAAATATCACACAAATACTATTATATGTTTAAAGTTCTGAAAGCAGGTTTTTACAATTGTTATAGGTTGCCATATCGATTATCATTTGTTCATTAAATATAGCCAATATCCTAACTTACCTTCCATAAACAAACTTAAGTTTGTTAAAATTATAATTGCCCACTTTCTTGAATTCTGGATTTTATTGTTTTGGAGTTCTAATAAATTAATTTTAAGATGTAGAAAACCATAGTCCTTAAATGCTATTTATTCTATTATGGCCTTTTTGGATTAAAATTTCACAATATTAATTTGAGAATTTGCTTATAGTATCATAAGATTTGGAAAATTATCAAAATAAAATTATTCATATATTCTATTAAAATTAATTTGATGAAGCAAATATAAAAACAGTTTTCTATAAAAGAAATTTAAGCTAGAAGGTTTTCAAATTAAATGAATTATTTAAAAAAAAAGGTAAAAATAAAACCAATTTTAATATTTTAGAAAAAATCAAGATTAAAGTAATTATTATAAAGATTTTTAGGATCAACAACAGCATTTTTCTCTGCTTCTTCTTTTTGAAGATTATTTTGGTGCTTATGAATATATTACTAAAGAAATTACATCAACATCAATTATTTAATAAATTAAATTTGATATTTGCTCTTTAAAATGTAAGTTGGAGTTAAAATAATAAATGATCATGTATAGCCAAACACTACATAACAAAGTTTTTAATCTAGATGTTGAAAATTTTATTAAAGTCGAATCAAAAAGTTAAGAATTAAATGATCAATTGATAAGAGATTGCTAGTTAAAGATAAAATATTTGTCACTTATTAATAAAAATGAAATTTAGAGATCAAAACTTGAAAAACAAGCAAATCTTTGTATTTAAAAATTTGAAAAAATTATATTTGAAATTGAATTGTTATATAAACAGTTTCCATTAAAAAGATATTAAAGATATTTGATATTTGCATATGCAGAACTTTGTAATGATTTCTTGTAAGCCATAAGAGTAATGAATTTAACTTCATTTAATGATGAAGCAATTTATACAAAAATTTTATCTCTAAATTTAGATTTTTATTCTATCAAAACAATTTATTTAATTACTGATTTAGAAAATAGGAAAGTCCTTAAAGTTTCATCTAACTATAAAAATGTAATGAAATCTCATATCTCTAAATTAGAAGAAATTATTCCAAAAGGTGTAAAAGAATATCATGAAGAGATGATTAATAATTTCTTAAAAACTGGAGAATCTAACTTTTTTTAAGAGACTACATCAACATTTTATCAAAACGAAGATTTCATAACACCAATTACTATTATAAATGATGTTTTTATCTAAAATAATCATATCAATTCAATTACAATTGCAACTGTTCCTAATGAAGATTAAATTACCTTGATTGTAGATGCAAATCTTAATATATCTGGGATTACTAGAGGATTTTTAGATTCACTTGAAATTAGTCATGATTATTGCAAATATCTTACTGGGATAAAAATAGGATTAGTAATACCAGAATTCATAGAACTTTCTCAAAATGATTAGGTTTAATACATAGAACTTCGATTCTTAAGTGGATTTCAACTTTAAAAATATTTAGATTTAATTTAAAGAAATTTCAATAGTAAACAATAATAAATATTAATTAATGATCTTTGGCATGATAAATCTAAATTAGATACATACATATCACATTGTAATATAATTAAATCAAAATATGGATTTTATAAAGTAAATTTCAATTACATAAAAAATAAAATTAAAGTTCCAATGCGTAATTTAACTTTAAAAACCTATGCTTAGATATCAGTACATGATAAGGATGATATGGATGAATAAGTTAATATAATCTCTCCATATGAATAGTAAGATTATTTAATGGAGAAATAAGAGGCAGAGGCTTTTGGTGTTAATAAATCTGAAGTTCTAATATCAGGTAGAGATCATCAAACATTAGCATTAATAGATGTTGATAAAGATGTTGAATTTCATAATAGTAGAAACAATTAATAAACAATAATAAGACCGACTACATTTTAAAACATCTTTTAAAGTTAATAAGATATAGCTGGTGAAGAGGAATAGTAAAGTTATTCAATAGAAGAAAATAATAAAAAATAATATTATTCTGTTAAAAATATCTCAAAATATGGTATTTTTGAAAAAATAAGATAAAATAATACAATAAGTAAATCAAGTAGACTATTAGTAATAGTATTAATATTTAACCAAGTATTATTCTTAAACTAAATTCTCATATCCATAATAAGTAGTCTTAATGTTTTAGATTAAAATAATGTAGATATAGATTTATTATAGATAAAATATTATTTATTTTAACCAGTTGAATCATTTATTGTAACAAGATATACAATAATTAATTATAATGCTTAATTTTCAGCAAAAGCAATTACCAAAAACTAATTAGATAAATATTTAGTGTTTCCAAATTCTAATTTAAATTTAGGTTTTGATGATGTTCAATCTAATTAAGCTGCAATATTAAATAGATTGACTCTTTAAGATTTTTTAGCTGAATATTATGATTTTTATATATATATTAAGACTGATGTAGGAGAACTTTATAATATCACAATGAGATAATCATTAAGTATACTAATAAATTACTAATATACATTTAAAGCAGCCTATAAATATGATGGTAGAACTGTCTCAGATTCACCTTATATATTTTATTCTTATAGAAATCTTTTAACTTTATACAATGCATTTGATTTATTAAATTAGCAATTATTTATACAAACTATTTAAAGAATTGAATTAGATTTAGATAAAGAATTAACATTATTTTATCCGTTTATTATTTTATAAATTATATTCTTAGGTTTAGAAATATATTTCTAATATAAAAATGAGTAATTTTTAAGTAAATTTTTTCTTCTTCTTCTTTATTGTGATTAATAAGTTATATAATAAGAGATAAAGCGTCTAAATAAATTTGTCGAAATGTACAATAATAAATCAGAATAAATTTTACCTATTTAATTTAAAATAGAAAACAAAGAAGATGAAATTGCTGAATATAAAAATCATTCAGTTACATCAATTAAATAAACTGAAAAATAAAGATCTATTAAATTGACTATTAGAAATAAATATATTGTTCTTTTATTTTAATCAATAATTCTAATATCTTTTGGATTGTTAAAATATTTTGTAATGAAGAATTATTAGAATAAATATGAACCAACTTGTGAATTTTATTTAGAAATGTCATATCTTGGAACCAATATTCCAACTATATATGCTATGAGAGAGGTACTTTATTATAGATGGAGATACCCATTTTATAAAGATGAAGAAATATCATAAATATTAATTTAAGTTGAAACATGCTTATAACAAGTCTAAAATTTTACTTTTTATTTGTCTTAAATATAAATGTAAATTAATAGTTATATTTAGGGATGAGTTTGTACTTAGTCATAACTTTTATTAATACCTAGAAGAACTTAGTAATAGTAATCTATGCGATATGTTATCATAAGATTTAATTACAAAAAGCAAGGATTTATGCTTTTCAACTTTAGGAGGAAGTCTTTAAAAGGGTTTATAAGGAGCTCTAGTATTTGTATATTCTAGTATAAATAATGAAAAACAAATAAACTTATTTCTCAACAAAACTGAGAATACAGTCAATGAATTAGAAGGAGTATTTATTCTATCAGAACTAATTAAAAAAGTAAATGTAGCTTTTAAAGATGACTTCTTATCTTAGGCTAAATTAGTATAAGATAGTTTATTTGTAAAAATAATAGTTTTATTTAGATCATATCCATAATTTATTTATTGTTTATGATTACAACCTTAGTAATAATTTTCGCAATTATTAATCCTTATTTATTTAAACAATTTTACTACGCTAGAAGATATTTATACTTAATACCATAAGTAGTTATTTATGGTGATGCTGCTTTTGAGAGGCAAATGAAATTATTATTCAAAATCTCATCCTGATCAAATGTTGTAGTTGAATATTATTATATATCAAAATTAAAAATAACTAATTCATTTCATCTAACAAATAAATAATTATCAAAATTTATTAAAATATATATGTTGATAATTATACAACTATTTCTTCTATGTTTGTTTATTAATAACAGAAACAATTTAGAAATTATTTATAATAAATAAATCTTTCTATATATATATAAATATAAGTAATAACAAAAATATAAATAAAAACAGAAAGTAGTGGATAGTGAGTAATTAAATATATATCATTTTGAGTTTAGAAGTTGTTATTGTTTTTATAATTTCAACATAAATCTTGGTATATACTGAGATTTCTTTTAAATTACTAATACAGGATGTTAATATTCGGATTGATTGAGTATGCTAAATCCAGAAGAATTTTATAAAGAAACAATTGATGCTTTTAAAGGCACTTAATTTTTCTGATGAAAATCACGTAAAGATTTAGAAGTAGGTTTTCCTTATGGTTTCTATGATATTGGTTAAATATTTCTGATTCTAGCTGGAATTCTTATTGGTTTAGTTAAAGATCTTGTTTCAGTTTTGAATCTAAATTAAGTAGGTGTTTTGGAAGTTGTACGAAAACTGATAGTATTTAATCTAGTTGATATTTCTGTTTTCTATTTTTTTAATCTTTCTGTTATTGTTCTTTATAATATTTTATTGATTTCACATTCATAGTCATCATCATATTATGGTTACTCATCATAACAAATATTCAGAAGTTATTCAATAGCATTTTGCTCAATTAATTAATTATACATTAATATTTATGTTCAATATTCAAAATTCTCCTAATCCTAGTGAGATAGGTTAAAGCTAAACTTTTTAGTTGTAAGCTCCTTGTATGACACATTAAGGCTAAAGTGTTACTAATTTCTGTAAATAACCTGATTGTTTAATGCCACTTTGTCCAAAATGTATTCCTTAACATTTGGATAAACATAGATAATAAGGACAATTTGCAGACTTAATTACAATAGATGAAATGCATGAAGAAACACTACAATTAATTAATACTTAATTAACAAATTTGAATTCTGCCATTTAGTTATTATAATAATTCAAAGATTCAAAAACAGATGCTCATGGAAAATTGCATACTAAATTAAGCAATTCAAAATTACGTGTTTAACAAATGGTTGATTAATTTTTTGAAGAATTATTTAATGAACTTGATTAAGTAACTTAAACAGATAAAACACATTTAGATGTTGAATTATAATAAATGGAAAGATCATTAAATTAGAAAATTCAGGAATATTAATAGATTGACTAAAAATTAAGAACTCCAAAATATCTAAAATAAATAATCTAATTATAAACAACTAATTTTCTATAATAAACACAATAATAAAGAGTTGAATGTGAAGCATTTATTGAAGAAGTATCTAAACATACATTAGATATTTAAATAGATGAATAAGAATTATACTTTCTAAAAATTCAATTAGCATAATATGCATCTATAAAAAATGCTGAATATTACAAAAATTAATAAATTTAGTCTTCTTCATCTATTCCCAAAAATACAGTCTATAATCATCCATATTTAGCAAGTGAACTTTAAACAGCTAAAGTTGAGTAATCACCTTATAAGAGATTAGAACAATAATGTATAAATTTTTATTAAGTAATCTAGTATAATAAGTTGGAATATCAAATTTTACAATAAATTTACCAGACTTTTATGATCCTCTTTGTAATTAGAAGTATTTACATTACTTTACAGATAAATCCATATTTATTTTAAATTTGGAATGGGTTTAGAATCCAAGATGGTAAGAAATTCGATTGAATTGTTAAGTTCCAATTAAAAGTACTTCTGTACGTTCACAATAAGGAGATATATTTGTGATTGGTGGTTATATTGGAAATTAACTGAGTTCCTAAATTTTTAGAATAGATTTTAAATAATAAACTCTTATTTCAACTGATCAATTAACATATTCTAGACATTCTTCAGCTGGTGTATTTCTATAAAATAAATTATATGTTCTTGGAGGATAAAATTAAAGTGAGGATTTAACTTCAATAGAAAGTTTAGAATTATAATTAAATAAATCTAGATCTGTTTTAGAAACTAGAGTAACTCTACCAAAAATGAATAAGGGAGGTCCTAATTTATCAATTTGCACATTTAGATAATATATTATCAAAGCAACTCCATTAGAAATATTTGATACTAAACTACTAAAATGGATATCTTTAAATCATATAATAAATAAAGGAGTTGGAATGGTAGCTATAAATAATTCTAATGTTTTAATATTTGGAGGTGGACAATATTAATTATTAAAGATGGTAGATCAGTAAAATTTATCATTTGTTATTGAGAATCTACCAAATTCTCCATAATTTGGCTAGATACAAAATGGCAGTTTGATTCATTAAGGGAAAATTTATGCTGTAACAAGTACGTGTAATTTCATAATTGGAACACCTGATGGGTGGACATTATGAAAATTATTAATTTCATAGAATATTCAATATTTAAAAATAACAATTATTCTTGCTAAATCTTCTATATTTCATTTAAGTTCTATTAATTTATTAAAAAAATTTAATCTATCCATTCCATTCAATTCAATTTTCCATTATTCCCATTCATATAGCCAATCTGGTTTAGATATGAAATGATCATATCGATATTAATTAGTTAATCCTAATTAAACATAAAATTAAAAATGTAGTCCTCTTATAAAATCCATAGGGTTAATAGGTTTGTAATGTAAATAATTCTAATTAATAGAATAAATATTACATCTAAATCAAATCTATTATTGCAATTTAATTCATAAGCCACTAAAAGTGATCCTCTTTTAATTTTTTCTGATGTCATTTCTCCCCTAAAAATCTCTTCAAATAAAGCATTATCAATAATATCAAGTCTTTCTCTATTGAAAATGCTTTTTTCGAATTTTTATTTACCTTATTTATCAGTATAACAAACCATTTATGATACAGGATCCCAATCATAATATGAGAATGTAGTACTCAATCCTCTAGCCAATCTAGATTGTTCATAATATATATAATGCTCTCTTCTAGCATGATAAACCCAAATCGGTATTAAAAAGTTTGGTTATTTTCTAATATCAAATTCCTTTTTTTATATGTAAAAATTACATGTTTCATCCAATTATGTTAAATCCAACCATATGAATATAATGAAAATATAAGACTCAAGATAATTCTCATTTTTCTTTTATTAACAGTAACATCTTAAGATTCGAAAAATCCTCTCAATCCTCTTAAATACAATTAAAATATTTTGCTTTTGACTTACAAATATCTCATTCAATTAAATATATATATATATATGAATAAATTATTAAGTATTTTATTTTATGTTTTATCATAATATATATAAATATATATGTAGAGATTAGAGAAATATAACAAATATAATTTGATATAACATAATTTAAATTCTTTAACTTGATAAAATATCTCAATGAATTATATTTATTTTAATAATGATTAAGTATTTTTTTGGATCAATTAAACTTTTTAGAAAACAAGGTATTTAAGATGCTACTAAAGCTACCACAACTAAATTAGATCAAATTACAAACCCAGAATTGACAAAAGATGATATAGCCAATTTTGATTAATTTTATTCAAATATTGTTAAAAGTATGGTTGTTAAAGAAAATGGAAGAAAGAAGGTTATCCAACAAACTTATACACCTAATATTTACTAAATATTGGAATAAAAAATTGGAAATGATCATTTTTAAATTAGCGCTTTTTTATAATTTCGAAGAGATCAATTAAGAGAAGAAGAAGTTGTATATTGTTTAGATGGATTAATTAGAGCAAAGTAATTTATTCAATTGAAAAATTCAGATTATTTATAACATATAGATTCATTAATTTCAAACAAAAAATTGTAATTTACAAAAATTGAATGTCTTGAATAAATATTGATAATTAATAAACAACTATAGTTTTTATCTATTGATTCTTTGAGATTAATAGCAAAATAATTAAATGAAATAGGTTAATATATTGAAAAAGAATATGAATTAACTAAAAATGAAGAACCATTAGAAATGTTAGCATAAGCATTTATTTTAGCTGCTTAAATTGAATACAATCATACAATAACTTAATCATGGCTTATTCATGTAAGGAAGATTCTTAAGAGACATTTTAAACTATTAAAATTTGATACAATATTGAAATACTTCATTACAATAATTAAAGTATTTATAATTATATGAATATTAGTATTAAAATAAACTCTAAACAGAATTGGATTCAATATTAGATATAGAAGAATTTTTTGGTGAAAATTATAATGTATTAACTTTGGAGAATTACTTGATAATAATTGAACATTTGGCTCTCATAAAGTACAAGAAAAGAAGTGAAGTTGTTATATAATTTATTAATAACATTAATTCATTCACATTCACAATTTAGTAATTAGCCTAATTAGCGAAAAGTCTAGCTATAATGGAGATTAGATTAGATGAATTGTGGAAGAGAATAACTTCAGAATTTTTATAAGTAATATAATTGGTAGATGCTCATTTTTATTTAGGAGAGATAACACTTATATTTTAATCTTTATTAAAAATCAATCCATTATCACCATAAGATTTAACAACAATCTATAAGACAATCAAGAACATTTCTATTGATGAATCATATACAATTAAATTTTAGATTTTATATAATTTCAGCATTAAAGGTCATTTTAATTTTGATTTATTCCAAGATTTATGTAACTATGAGAAAAATAATTTTTAATTTAAATATTTAAATAGTTATAAATAAGAGAAATTATTTGAAGTTATAAAAGTTATTTTATATAATTCAATATTTTACAATAAATTGGAATGTTTGGATGAAAAAGTTGATATTGCAATATAAAAAGCATTAATAATTTTATGTCATAAGATATATGAAATATTGAGTAATCCAAATTATGAATTAAAAAATAGTTTTTAAACATAATATGAATTATTTATTGTAAGTTCTTTATTTTAAAAATATATTGAAAATTCAGATGGACTTTAAGAAACATTGATTAATAATAAATTAGAGAATATAAGATAAGATGCAGGAAAAAAATTAGATAGAAAAATATAAAGAAATCAGTTTCAAATTTAGGAAGCACTTAAATTATTAGGATTTATTGATTATTTTAAAGTTGGATATAAGGAAGAAGCATATTAAGAGTTGGTTAGAATGGTATAAGTAAAATTAATTGAATACGAATCAGATTTTGATGAATTGAATAAATTATTACATCAATATCATATATAGAATTAACAAATAATGTAAGAATACACTTCATTAATACTTAATAAACAAGCTGAATTAACAATTGAATAATTATAAAAGTATAGTCATGTTTTGAAAAAAAGTGGGAACTAAAGTTAAGATTTAGAATTAATTATTATATAAAGATCATTAACTAATAATTCATATCTTGGTGTTGTTGGATTGGATAAACCAAATTATGAAGTCAACTTTTTATTTAATTGATTAATCATATATAATTAATTCATATTATAATATTTATTCAAAATAAATAATTTGTATTGTTATTGATTTATTGTCTTACCTTTCTTAGATCTTATTTAATATTCATAGATAGTTTTAAATTAATTTGAAGTGATTTTCACTAAAAATAAATATACATTTATAATAATAAAATTGAGTATATATAAATGGATAATTAATAGTTTTTATTGAAAATCAAGATGAAAAATACTTTTAATAAATTACTACTGTTTTTGGGGTCGATTAGGGTTAGTAAGTAGAATAGACAATTAATATTAAATATTTATTTATTATAATTTTTTATAGTTAATAATTCAAATTTGAATGAGTTTTGTAAACGATTTGGATGATCTGTGTGATTTTAGTAAATTAAGTTAAAAGTGGAAACAAACCAAAAATGAATAAGTAAGATAGCCTTCTCCTAGTCCTTCAAAAGCTGAATCTGATGTAACTTCTAGTAAATGTGTAACAAATCCTTGGAACAAAGGTTTGATTCATAACTTATAATAGAAAATTTTGTACCAAATAATGAAGAGGCAAAAAAAAATGTTAGTAAATCTAGAAATCATGCTCCTTAAATTATTGATGAGGATACTGAATAATTTAAAATTAGATTAGAACATATTTTAAATGTTTTTAAGACAGAGGCCACAAGTGAATTTATGACTATGAAGAGATCTATGTTAGAGGATTAAAAATAAACAATTAAATAAGACACTGAAAAGTATTTGTAAATGTATGAATTAAAAAATAATGAATTATAATAAACAAAAGAATAATTGGCAGAATAAATGAGAATTTGTAATTAAATTACTGAAAGATCAGAAAAGATAGCATAATATTGTGGTAAAATGAAGAATACAAAAAGAAGATTATATATTTTATCAAATGTCTTAAATAGTTTAAAGTAATATACAAAATAATCAATAAAGAAAAAAAATGTAATTATAATTAAATATTATAGAATTAAAAAAAAGGAACTAAACATTATAAATAATATTTATAAAGATGGATATTTAATTTATGGAAAAAGTAGTTCAATATTTAAATTAGAATTAATTAATGTGAAAAATTAAAATTATCTCATTAAAATGATGTTGATTTATTAATGGCTAAATTTTAAAAAGAATAATAATTATTAGAATAAAAATTATAGGAAGCTACATTTTAATTAGATGAAGCAAATAAAATAAAATTATCAATGTAAGAAAACTTAAAGAGAGCTTTTATGAGAGGAGTTTGTGCTCTCAATTTTGAAGCTATGAATGTATTGAATGGATCATCTTAATAAATGGAATTAGATTCATTAGCCACTAATTTATTAATGAATCCTTTTTAATAATCTAGTACATAATAATAATAATAATCAACTATTCATTAACCATAATAATTTAATTAATTAAATGATACATTAAATTTAAATGAAAGCAAAGATCATTGGTAGAGATAACATTCACCACCTAAAAATATTATTTATCATCAATAAAATAGATTAGAAACAAATGATCATCGTTGGAAAGATGCACCAATTGTTGGAATTAAATAATTATCAGAAATTACTGAAAATTAAAGCATAAATATGTCAATATCTAAATTAGTTTAACAAGGTAATAAATACTCTTAATTTATAAAGATGATCTATAGTTTGATAAAGATGATGAATAAAATGAGGGTAAAGTTATTAAAGTAACTTTTGACAATCCATCTAATATATAAACATAATCTGTAAAAAAATAAACAGTTTAACCTAAATAATCATAAACTAAACAACCATCTAAATAGATTTCAACAACTAATTCATCAACATTTAAGAAAAAATGAATTTATTAATTATGTGACAATTATTAATAATCACTCTTTAAATATTTTACAATAAATTTTATATTATTATTATTCACATATTTAGTATTATTTTAAATATAGACCTTTAAATATGAAATATACTTATATCTATGTTTATAATATATTCTATTATAATTTTCAATTAATTAGATATTTTAATAATAATTAAATGTAATATCAATAAAACATTTTTTTTTCTATAAGAGAAGATCCATGTTCATCATAATCTGATTTATTTAAAGTCCATTGATCATAAATTTAAGAACTTGCAACAATAGAAGCTCCTAACCATGAAGCATGTTAACGATCAAAAAATTTTGGGAGTGTTTAAACTTTACTTCTTGAAGATAATCCAAAAATTTTAAGATTATTGATTGTTCTTTAAAATCTTTCTACCATATTAACTGTACAACTAGCTCCTCCTATCAAAATAACATTTTGAACTAGTTCTTTTCTATAATCAGAATCAATTTTTTCTAAACTTGTTTCCAAAGCTTTATCCAATCCTTCAAAATTTTCAGTTGGTTCATATAAAAATTCTGGATATTTATACATTTCTTCAGATATTAATAATTTAGTTTAATCTGGTAATTCATAAGCTTAATTATCAACAGTTGGATTGAATTTTCTAATATTGATTAAAGATATTTAATTACAAATTTTCTATAGGTTAATCATATAATTTAACACATTAATGTTTAATTTCTCTAACTATTTCCAAATCTCCATACATTTAAAGAGATGGTGAAAGTTGACTATAATTTTTGAATCTAGAAAATGGCAATCCCTACTATTTCCATATATCATATAATTTATTTGTAATATATTCACCTCCTATATCTCCTCTAATAATACCTAAAATAAATTAAATATAATTTACCTTTTTCTATAACATTACCATCTAATATTGGTGTAATTGTTGTATGAGATGCTCCACAATCAACTACTAATACATTGTCCTTTCCTACTATATATTATGCTAACATTGTATTTCTATGGAAAAAAACTGAAGAAACATCAATTTCTTCAAATAGCATTTCAATGATTTTATTTCTGGTTTCTTTTTTCACATTTCCATTTTCAACAAAGAAAAAAGGAAAATGTCTTTCTTAAATTAAAACATTATTTAAAATGTGTTCTACATATTCTTTCCAAATATCAAAATCAACTATTTATCCTCCTTAAAGTATATTCTTAACATCAAATCCAATTGGTTGATATGTACTATTCTATTCAATGAATTTCATATTTCCCTCGCTATCCATTAATAAATCAGATGGTAAAACAACTTCTGGTCCATCAGTTCCTGCATATCCCACTCTTGTATTTTATTATCCGAATTCAAATATAACAGGGATTTTATAACCTTTATTCTTTTTATATGGTATGAACATTAAATTTAATAAAACAAAAAATTATGTATTCTTTAAATAAATCACAAATATTTCAATATTTAATTTCAGTTTTCTTTTTTTAATAAATCTCTTAGTTATACTATCTTACATTAATTGTAGCCTGAAATATTATAAATTAAAAGTTTTCATATTTTACTAATCACAATATTCTTTTGAAGATTTTAATTATTATTATTCTTATTCAAAGGAATCTATAACTTAAAATATTTCTTTATTCCAACAACATATTTTAAAGGTAGTTTATTTTAAATATATGTCTAATTATCTTATATTTTTTGAATTCGAAGTTTTTCATTTTAATATATTTCTTAAAGTATTTTATAATTAAATTACATTTTTTTAATAATAAAGAAATCAAATCAATAATTGTAAAATGTGCTATTATCTTCACCAAATTAAGCAGTCTTATTTTTTTAATACAACAATTATTATTTCATTTATTTATTTTTATTTGGCAACTATTCTTCCAATCTTTCAGGCATATCTTGACTTAATGCTCCTAAAAGAGCACATAAAATTAGCTATAATAATGGAATAGAATTTACTTTAAATATGAATGACACATAAAGTAAGATTAAGGCTAATCTATTAGGACCTTTCTCTATGGCATAATATTTATCAGTTTCAGTAGCTTCACTGCCCCAAAATCCTCTTGAATATTTAATTGCCCATACTAAATCACATAACAATGATATTCCAACAGCTATAGAATAATAAATTAAACGTTATTTGTAGAGTCTATTGAATTCAAATTCAATAATGAAGAAAAAACATATAACCAACTATATGGGGTTTAGATATAAATATTTACATCTAGAAACTGAGATTTGCCAAAACAAATGAATACACTAAGTCCCATAACAACTAATATACTTAATCGAGTATATAATTTGTAATCGTACTATGAATTAGCATTATTTATTGGTGTCATCACTAAAGTATTGGGAGGTTAATGATTTATTGCCAGATCTTCTTTATCTATACTCCTAATTAATTAAACATAATTTGGAAAGGGTTCATATAGAGTGGCTAGATCTTTTTCAAAATCAATTAAATCATCTTAAGCAGTCTTTATTTATTCATTCCAAACTTCAATTTATTAACTTAATGATTTTGAGTCATTAAATATCCATTATGATCTCAATTTAATTTTTGTTTAAGTTTATTATCCATTTTTATCAAATAATTAACAGCAATCTTCAATTTTAGTTTGGTTGGTTAAATGTGATAATGATAAAGTCACAGTTCCTAATAATTATGGTATATTTGGATGATTAATGGTGTAAAAAAATAATTATAATTCTTCTAATCCAGTTGAAATTTTACTAACAAAATTAAAAAAATAATATACAAATTAATTGTTTTATTCCATTAAGGAGATGGTCCATTTTGCTATTGAATTTCTTATTTTTAATTTTCCAATTTTAATATTACTGATACATTTTAAGCTGGGAAATTGATACCTTCTAATAATTCAACTGTCAAATAACTATCCTCTTTAATTCCATATTAATTAACTCTTTCACTATCTTTTATTGACTTAATTCTTTATTTACAATAAATACATCAAATTAGTTTGATACATATTTTCTTTATTTATTATAATCTAAAATCTGTTTCTTACAACCTTCAATTTTATTTTTTAAGATTTCTTCTGCTTAGAGAAACACTTTAATAAATTCATCCACTGTAATTTTATTATTAAAACTTTTATTCATTCTTTAATATAATTGATCTCCTAATTCTCTATCAAATTGTCTTCTTAACTAAATTTTGTAGCAGATAATACTTTCTTATCTAAGCATCTATAAAATTATTCAATAGATAACAATTCGTCATGATTTATTTCAATTTCCAGAAACTCTTTTCTCAGTACATTAGCCTTTTCAATTGCATTAACCGAAGTTGGCATTTTTATATATATATTTGAATATAATTAATATTGAAATTAAAGAAATGATCATATCAAAAGAAAAATGAGAAGAGCATTCAATTATTGCAATTCTTAAGGAATTGTTGAATATGATATCTGATTAATTGAAGTCCTTTATTAATATTAATTCCTTATCAAATTCTTCCTTTTATTAGAATCTATATTAAAAACTTAAAATAACATTAAGGAACAATTGTATTAGTCTCATTCAAAAAAAAATTGGTAATATTATCAAAATCTTCTAAATTTAAAACTATTCTAACAATCTTTGAAGAATTAATCAACTAATTAGTAATAAGTGCTATTACACATTAAAAATTATCCAAAATAATCCTTTTTTTAATATAAAATAGATTCAATTCAAGTACTTCAAAATGCTAAGAATTCTTACATTGAAATTGATTAGAAAACAAAATTAAGTATAATATAGAGTTGTGTGATACAATTATATATAATATTTGCTTAATAGATTTTGAAAACCTACTTATCTTATTTAGATTAATTATATAATAAACATAATATTCAGCTATATAGTTCTTATTTGTAGAAAATCACCCATTAAAAGTTTAAGGAGACTAAAAAAACATTTAGGTGTTTATGATATAAATATGAGCAATATTAAAGTCTGATTAGAATAAGAATTTTCATTCATAATATGTAGTTTTAATTCAGTTATGATTCTATAGTGACTGACTATCTTGAATCATGAACCAATTTATATACTTTATTAAAAAATTAATAAATACAGAAATGAATCTTTTTAGAGAAGCTATTAATAAAAAATAATCATTTGTTATTTTATATTAATAGAATGATTATGTAATTCAGATTAATTATTAAATTATCGATTACATTTAATAAAGAAAACTATAATTTTTGATTATTAATTAATGAAACAAAAATTGAGGATTCTCAGTAGGATATATTTGATATTTGTTAAAATCTTAGTGTTTTTTACTTCTGGTAAAATTCTCATGCGACTAATCACTTTAACCTTATCTAAATTTTATCGTTCTCTTTATCACAAAAGTTTACTGGAGATAGAGATTTGCAGTTTAATTATACTATAATATATAGTTTTACATTAATTTTGATTTTGTAATTGTGTATTACTATATGCATTGATTGATTGACAAATATGATATCAAATATTTAGATATTAATTCTTGTTTTCTGGTTTAAAAATATAATTTTAAAAATTTGTTATTTTAGAATATATGGAAAGTAGAAATTTAACTCAATTTCAGCATTATTCTCATAATGGGACTAATCGATATTCTATCTAGAGAATTGTTTACCCTCAATATGCAAGTGGTCTAGTATAAGAAGAAACTGTATCTCAACACAAAGATTCAACTGACGAGGATTAATTTATAGAAGGTGAATGTTTTGTTTATATTGGGGGTTAATAAATATTTACTATTGAACTTAAATAACCAGATTTTGTGCATTAATAATTATGCATTGATTTAACAAAATATTAATGTCCTTTAGAATGCTTAACTGCCTTCCCTTTACCTAATTAATTTCAGAATCCTTAAAGAATATTACCTTTAAGCACCGGAATTTTAGTTGTTAGTAGTGGTAAAAATGGTTAAAAAATCAATTTATTTGATGATCACTCGAAAGAGATTAATATAAATATATAAATCACTAAGAGAATAATTTGGATGAATTCAAGATACTTATAAGAAGTTATAATTTTAATAGTAGGATTTAATGACTTGAGCGTTGGACTTTTTGAGATTGATTTCAAAAATAAATCAATTAGATTACTACAAGAATTCATTTTTGAACAACTTATCATTTTTAATGATATTTCAACTCATAATTCACTTTATTATATAGCATTGACATCTTACAATGGAATTATATCAATACTATCCATTGATCTCTTTTTTTAAATTTAACATCATGTTCATAATATTAATAGAATAACTTCACCTCCTAAATTATATTTTTAACATAATAAGCCCAACTTAATGGTTCCAATCTAAAATGGAGAAATGTTATAATATTTTGAAATAGGAACTAATGGATTAAAGAAATGGAATGTAATAAAGNAACCTTATCTAAATTTTATCGTTCTCTTTATCACAAAAGTTTACTGGAGATAGAGATTTGCAGTTTAATTATACTATAATATATAGTTTTACATTAATTTTGATTTTGTAATTGTGTATTACTATATGCATTGATTGATTGACAAATATGATATCAAATATTTAGATATTAATTCTTGTTTTCTGGTTTAAAAATATAATTTTAAAAATTTGTTATTTTAGAATATATGGAAAGTAGAAATTTAACTCAATTTCAGCATTATTCTCATAATGGGACTAATCGATATTCTATCTAGAGAATTGTTTACCCTCAATATGCAAGTGGTCTAGTATAAGAAGAAACTGTATCTCAACACAAAGATTCAACTGACGAGGATTAATTTATAGAAGGTGAATGTTTTGTTTATATTGGGGGTTAATAAATATTTACTATTGAACTTAAATAACCAGATTTTGTGCATTAATAATTATGCATTGATTTAACAAAATATTAATGTCCTTTAGAATGCTTAACTGCCTTCCCTTTACCTAATTAATTTCAGAATCCTTAAAGAATATTACCTTTAAGCACCGGAATTTTAGTTGTTAGTAGTGGTAAAAATGGTTAAAAAATCAATTTATTTGATGATCACTCGAAAGAGATTAATATAAATATATAAATCACTAAGAGAATAATTTGGATGAATTCAAGATACTTATAAGAAGTTATAATTTTAATAGTAGGATTTAATGACTTGAGCGTTGGACTTTTTGAGATTGATTTCAAAAATAAATCAATTAGATTACTACAAGAATTCATTTTTGAACAACTTATCATTTTTAATGATATTTCAACTCATAATTCACTTTATTATATAGCATTGACATCTTACAATGGAATTATATCAATACTATCCATTGATCTCTTTTTTTAAATTTAACATCATGTTCATAATATTAATAGAATAACTTCACCTCCTAAATTATATTTTTAACATAATAAGCCCAACTTAATGGTTCCAATCTAAAATGGAGAAATGTTATAATATTTTGAAATAGGAACTAATGGATTAAAGAAATGGAATGTAATAAAGTATCAAAATAATAATAAATCTATGATTACTGCATTTGATATAGAGCCTAAAAAATGTGATATATCTTAGAATTAGAGCGAAGAGTTTGAGATTTGCATGATGCATTTTGATGGAACCCTTAGTTTTTATGATTATGCTGATAACAGTATTTATATAGAAATATCAAAACAATTGAATGGCTCCAGATTTTTTATGTCTAATATGCAACTTTCATTCAAGCAATTCATATTAATTGGATCTGATGATGAAGTTGAAATATATCAAATGTCCTTTTATCACATAAATTGATAATTAATTTTTGTGTTATCATTTAAAAAATTATAATGATTCATGTTTTATCAATTCACATTATTGTTGGTAATACATCAATCTCCTCATTTCAAATTACAGATTCTACTCCTTTAAGTCTTTTTATATTATTTTTATAAATTAATTTAATAAATTCTGAAGCCAAATAAAGATTTGTTTATCATTTTTCTGTAAGCTCTCTAAAACCCTTCCAATCTTTGGGAGCTTTTCCGCCACAAGAATGAATAACCTCTAAAAGAGTATTTGATGGTCCATCCTTATGTTCAGGTATCATAATCTAAATTATAAATCATTTTATTTACTAAAGTCTTTTAAAATATTTATTATGCTTCACCCCAATTTCCTTTAATATATTAATCAAATCCCTATTTCCAAATCTCATAAAATTACTATTATAAATATTTATGAATATTTTACTTAAGTATATGGTTCTCTAGCAGCTGACAATTCATCATCCTTTTCAAAGAGATCAGTAATATTAATTTAATTATTCATTACTTGTTTCATCTATTAATCTCTCTTAAATCTATTCACAACTCTAAATTTCTTTGATTCTTTTTAAGACATTTAAGAAACATCAAATTTATCTCTTAGAGTATTGATTTTAGATTATAAATTTTTGATAGACATATCCACTGTGTGTAATTCTTAAAAATAAATATAAATCATACCTAAAGGAACAATACTACCTTTTACAGTAACAATATCTATCATTCTCATCTATTTTTAACATTCCTCAGTCAAATATTACTTTAGAATACCACTAACGAGAATAAGTGATCCAAATTATTTAGTTGCAGCTTCTAATCTTGATGCCATATTAACATTAGGACTAAGATATGAAGCATCAATTTTAAATCCAGAACCAATAGCTCCTTCAATTCCCCAACCCATATGTAATCCAAAACCCATTTTAACAGAGTAATCTTTCATTCTAGCATTAAGTCCTTCATGTTTCTTATACTTTTCTAACTTTTTGGAGATAGATATAGCTGTGATAATCTTGAGAAATGCCATCACTGCCATATCTCCTTTTTATTTGATATATCTGTCTGTTTTTAGTTTTAAATTTTTAGGGTTGTCAGGATCAGGATGATAATCATTAGGAGAATATTTCCAAACAAGCAAGAAAGCATCACCAATATTTTTATTAGATGATCCACTCATAGAATCAACTGTTGAATGAACAATCTCAGCAATTTCATTCACAAAAAGCATAACTCCTTATTACAATACTTCAGTGGCCTATATTATAAATTATTTATTTACATCAGTAAAATTTCTAATATCACAAAATCCAAAAATTGCCAATATCTTTTTACCAGGAATCATAGGATCAACACCACCTCCCTTTTTAATGTTTTCAGCTATAATCTCAGAACCTGCTTCACCAAAACCAACAGCTAACAAAGCACCAACTTTCATTATTAATCTTTATAGAACATATGTTTCCATATGTTTTTCAATCTCTTTCTATTTTAATTTCTCTACATCCTAAGATTTTTCTAATTCTTCCATAATTAAATCTTCTTATTCTTCTATATTAACAGCTTCAAGTGGATTTGCTGCTATCATTTCTATTTTCTACATCATTGCTTCTATTGGATCTATCACTAAATCAGATACATCTTTATTGAACATCAAAGCAGACACTGCTAAAACAATACAAACAAAGACTGTTTAAAATATTGATAAAATAGCATTAGTTTGATTATAAACAACCATGTCAGCTGCTGCATATGACTATAGATTTGATCCATCAGATTTTACATAATATTGTAAATCTGAAAATCTATATTATTCTTTAGTTGCATATGTAGGAACTTCAAAAATATCAGGATTTGTATTATAATTCCACTCATCAAGATTTGTATTATCACCCCCTTTTAAATTAACATCAACACTATAAATTGGGTAAATTTCTCCTACATGGAATTGAGCATATTAATACAAAAGGGATTTCATTATATCTGGCTTATCTTTAAATTAATATATTCTATAAATTCCTGAATCATAACTACTAATAGTTTCTTAATAGGTATCTAAGGAAAGAACAGGAATACTTATTAGAATGGCTAAAATAATAGTAATCACTCTTCGCATAACTAGATCTGATAATTAAGCACCTACAATAGATTCTTTTATTTAGTTTTCTGCTTAAGAGGAGATTTAAGAAGATTTTATTTAAGTATTAGAGTTTTTATCTGGAGTCTTAGCAGCTTCAATATCATGTTAAGAATTTCTTAATTCATCATTTTAAGGTAAAATTTATTAAATTGATAAATTTGATTATTATTATTATTATTATTATTATTATTATTATTATTATTACTAATCTTAACTCTTACTTTAAGCTTATCTTATTAAATCTTAAAGTAATTTTCTTTATTATTCTCTTTCCATTTACTACCGTGCATGCTTATATAATTTAACCAATCTAACAAGTCTTATTACTCTAATAACTCTTGCTGCCTTTCTTGCTGCCCTAGATGCAGTTCCAATAGATTTAATTTGTGATGCACTTGTTAAATCTCCAGAATACCAGGTATCTGTTATCCAACCTAAATCTAATATCATAGTTAATGTTGATATAACATCTAAAATAAAATAAAACTAAAAAATTGAATTTTATATTTACATTCAAAATGTAGTCAGGTTTAGCAATACTTGTAAGTGAAATTTCAATAATAAATGCAACCATGCATATCACAGTTAAAACAAAGAATACATCATCTCCCTACTTATCTACTGATAATATCCTAATATCATCTCCAAATAATGCATAAATAGTGACAATTGCCATTATTATTGAGAATAACGTGTTTTCTGTGATTTTCAATATACTTTTTGAAAATTCTGATTGTTGCTTTTATTGAGAATGTCGACTCTTGACTCTGCTATTCATTCTTTTAATGCGTTTCTATGAGGTTTCTGATTTATTATATCACACATGTACATTAATGAGGAGATTTATTTCCTCCAGAACTTTTGATGGAGACATCATCTTAACTATGATGAACAGAACCATGTAGAGGTTTAAGATTCTTTTTTGTTTATTCAGAACCAGGATCAGCTTTTTTAATTAATGGTTAAGCTTGCTATTTATCAGTTAACTACATATATTAGTCTATTTACTAGAGGTGCTTAATTTTGCCCATTATTTTCTTAAGTAGGCTTAATTGATCTATCAGATGGTAACTGTAGCTATTATAAATAGTGAAAATACAGGATGAGGTTAATCAACCATTTGATTAAAGTTTTTCACAACCTAAGCTGGTACAAATACTTCACCCATCCCTTGTTCATCTTAGCCTTGCTTTTCTTGGTCATTTTTTGAGTTCATATTTTAATAAAATAATTATAGGTTTCATTTTATATCAAAACTCACTTTTTATTTGTCAAAGATGAAAGAACTCAAAAGAAAGAAGTTACCTATTGTTAATTAAATGAAAAATATCATTGAACTCAAAAAACTAATTTTATATCAAAGATCAATGATTTGATTCTCTTTTAAAAAATATATTGTTATTCTTTGAATATATGAGAGAAATGTTACTTTAATTAAAATAAAAACTTCAAATTAAATTTAATTGTGTTTTTACATCATTTACAATCTTATAAGATTTTGTTCTTATAAATATAGATCTTAATTAGATTATTATTTATTTTAGAGATTTAGACTAATCCAAATAAAAATTAATTAATTTATTTATGCATTATTCATAAATAACCAAATTTATCAAAATTTACTAATGTTACATGAAACTTAACTTTTACATATCCTACAGATTTTACTCTAGTAACCTCTCTTCCTTCACCTGAGGAAATAACTTTATCGAAGTTTTTGAGTTCAGCAGTGTTTCCTAACAAATAACCCAAAAAACCTGTAAATCCAGAAATTGGTAGAGGTTTGAATATTCGAATTATTCTTTCGTGACTAAAAGACTATTCAGAATTCATACTATCCTGGTTAAGTTGGAACATGAACAGATCCATACCCTTTAGCCACACTTCTTCCCATGAAATCTGGACCTGAAAGTCTAACTACAACCTAGGGCCATCCAAAAATGTTTTTAGTTTGAAAATTACATTCAAAAGGGAAATTCCAAACAATATTTCTAGAGTGTAAATTTCTTGAAGTGCTCAATTATGATATTCCACTTGGTTCTGCATCATCAGCATTATTCTATTTTTATTTTAAATCATACACTAGTTTTCAAATATGCCCAATCATCACCTCCATATTTAACTGCATACTCAATTCTTAATGATTCTTCGTCTTCACACTATATTATAAAATAACCATTTTACTTCCCCACATTCAAGAACTCCACTAAAATTTAAAAACATAGAATCAGGTTAAATATTTCTAGGATCCATCATCTCTTCTTAAATTCTCGAAATTCCATCTTAAAATTATTGAGGTTATGTATTTCCAAAGTTTTAATTTGTTTACCCTTTCATAGAGCCTTAATCTGATACATCTTTTTTATAATTTCTTGTATTCATCATTATCAATTTTTTTAAAATTATTACTAAATGAACTAATAAACTTATAGTAATTCAATAATTTGTTAGAATAATACAATTATTTTTATTTAGTTAAAGTAATTAAGTTATCAGTTATATTTTTTATAAAACAAATCATTAGAGATAGAGATAGGGTAGGATATGGATTTAATTTACAAAACCTCTTAATATAAATAGTATAAATTATTAGATATATTTAAGAAACTTGAAAAATACATTTATTAATAAATAATATAAATATTATGAAATAAATATCTGAAAGTGCTCATATATTACAAAAGGTTTATAATCCAAAAAAAATGAATAAGTTATTTATGACTACTCATTATTAACTTTAAAATGAGACTGATTTAATATTTGAAAAGTTTATGGTGATGCCGCTTTTTGGATTATCAGTGGCTAATGGAATATCATCAAATTGCATTAAAGCAAAATATTTATGTAGTGATTACAAAAAACAAGAATTATATGATTGCAATTTAATATTGATTATGTCAGCATATTCAGATTAAGCTGTTTATAGATCTAAGACTATGTATTCAAAAAGGGATGGTTTAGAATAAATTTTCAAATATCTTGCAATTCCAAATTAAACATATAACATTCACATAAGCTTATTAAGTTATTTTGTTCCATAAAGGTATTTTTTTTTAATTATTGAGAGTATTTTATAAACAAGTACTATAAGCCTTAAATATTTTTGAATTATTAGATTAAAAACATATTGAAGAATTGACTAAATCATCGTCAATTATCAATTAATTGGTTGATGATGATAATCTAGATTCAATTTTATTTAAAAATTAAGAATTTATAGACTATTAAAAATGGAGAAAATTATTAAAAAATAATGCAATAATTAATTTAAAGACTCTTCATTAACATAAATTGTCTTAATAAATATTTTGTTAATATTTTTTTAGATATCATTATTATTAAGGATGTGAAGATGAAATAATTAAATTAAATAAATTTCTTGTTGATGATTTTGATATGTTTAAGGTAATATATTAATATATTATTTAGTTTCGTTTTAGATTAGAGCATAATGAAAAGAAGATGAAATTTTATTTTTTAAGAATGTTGTCTTATTTTAAATTAAATGAGAAATTAGAAAAATTTTTGAAATTCTCATTCAAATCATATTCTCTAGATTGGAATAAAGAACTTCTTAGAGAAATGAAATGTAGCATAAATAAAAATAAAAATTAATGATTGAAATGTTCATATAATATATAATTAAGTTTGATAGAAATATAATACATATTAAAATAATCAGGAAAATGTTTATATCAATGATACAATTAATGTTTGAAATAGAAAGCTTCAATATTATTGAAGTGTAAATTTGCATCATCCTTAGCTAATAAGTCTAAATCATTAAATGATTCAAACTCTTATTTTACTTACTCAATAGTCTTCATCCTTTCATGAAAATGTTTACTAGTTTCTTTGCAAAATGTTTATTATTATTTTTATACTACTGTTTGACTTTTCCTTTGAACTCTAGGTAATTATTATTCCATGAATCTTCTATATTTATCAACTTCAACTATATTTTTTTGACTTACTTGATAATTTATCATTTTAGAAGTACCTAATGTATGCATACTAACTCCCTAATTTTAATTATTTTATTATTTTACATTCCGACTTCTATTTTCTGGTTCAGGTAAAACTAATTGAGTAGATAATTATTTTTTAGGATTTTCTACTATAGCCGATGATCTTTTAATAGTACTTCGAATGACAGGTGGATTTGTTATTTTGTTTTAATGTAATTGTTTTTTGTTTTTCACTTCTGCTAATTTTTCCCAATCATACATATAAAATGATTCCTCATTCTCTTTATCATTAATTGCTTTTCTAAATTAATCTTTTAGAAATGCATAATTAGGTGATTCTGAAAATTCCCTCGATTTAGCATGTTATAATAATAACAAATAGCACTAAATAATGTTTCAGATTACCTAAGGAAGTCCTTCAGTTAATAACTCTAATTTTACATTTTTCTTCATTTCATATATAGCTTTATATTTTTCATGTTTATCAGCAATTTAAAGATTCATCCATGGAAGTTTTCCCAAGTTTAAATAAATTAAAACATAGGCTAAACTCTCTAAATCATCTTTTCTAGATTATTCAAATCCTTAATGAGCTGCTATACTTGCATATCTAGCAGTTCCAATGATTCCTTTTTTATCAGATAAAGGTATATGTTATCCATTACTTTCTTTAAAATATTTAGCTAATCCAAAATCAATCAAATAGATAATATGTGTATCAATATATCCAATCACCATATTTTCAGGTTTTAAATCTCTATGAATAATATTTTTGTTATGTAATGATTCTAATCTCTCAATTAATTAGATTGATAATTTTAGACAAGACAATTATGAAAACCCTTTGCTTCTTCTTAGTAGATATTCTAAATTATGACCCAAATATGTAATCATGCAATAATTATAATTTTCATCTCTTCCATAATATTGAATCTATGGAAAACCTTTTTTAATTATATTATTTTATAATACCTTCCAATCCACCTAATTCTAATAATACTTTGATTTCTCTAACTAACATGCTTGCTGTACCATTACTTTTATTTTCTCTCTTCTCAAATTTTGTAGCTACAATTTCTTTCGTTTCACAATTCTCTGTTTTAAAAATATATCCAAAGCTGCCTTATCCAACTTTCTCCAATAATATAAACTTATCAGCTATAATAGTTCCTGAATGAAGATGTGTATGACCATTAGTTTATAAGTGTGTTTGATGTTTTTTAGTATTCCGATTCATCTTGTGCCAATTTTAATAAATTATTTCTTGCAAATTTATTCTGATATAATCAAACTTACCCAAAAAAATCTTGTTCAAAATATCAATACACTGTGCTTTAATAAATAAAATAATAAATAATATATAGTATATTTTTATAATTTGTCTTCTTAAAACATTAATCAAAAGATTTCAGTGAAGATTAATTGTTTTATATTTAATTTCCACCTTAATATTTTATAGAAGTGAATACAATTTTTTTTTATATATATATATATATACATTTATTTTCTAATTGCATTTCAAATTTAACTTAATAGTTTGTATCTGTAATTTAATTAAATGATTTAACTTAAATTTTACATTTGTTAATATATAGAATAATTAAAAGTTTAATTCCAACTGATACTACTAGATTAAACATACATTGTTCTGTAATAAGATATTAAAATATAAAACAGAATAGCAAAAGGTCTAATTTTATGAATAATAAAAAGTTAAGCTTGAACATTTTTTTATTAATTGAAAACTAAAGAGAAGGAATTAATTTGCATTATGAAACTATTTTATTTATCTTTTAGTTTAAATAAAAAATAAATCAATTTATTTATCATTACAGAATATTAATCTCAGTCTCAGTATTTAAAAACTTAAATAAGGTTTATATTGATTCTTACCCTGAAAATTAATAATAAAAGATCACTTTAATATTAATTTTAAATAGATTTCATAAACTTAATTATAATCATCAATCAAATAATAATGCAATATTAGTAAGATGTATAAATTAAATTTAAAAGTATATTCTTACGAATAATCAATAAAATAGTGAATTATTTATGTCTTTTATTATGTTAGAAAAACATGATTTTATTATGATTTACATTTTGTAATTATTCAATATTTAATAACTTTGGTAATTTTAATGATAAAGATAATAATAATTATTTTATTAAAATACCAGAAAAAGATAAAAGTTTGAATTTCAATTTATCTATCTCTTAGTTATTTAAATTTAGATCATAGATTTTTCATGGACTTTTCAAATAAGTAGGGCTTTGAAATAGTACATTAATCTACACTCTGTTACTTAGAGAAATTATTAAACTACAATTTAATAATATTATAAAGAATATTTAGAATTTATTTCTGAACTTTGAATTAATTTATGTATTTTATTTGAGAAATATTTTATTTTATATAATTTAAATAATGAGAATAAGTATCATAATATATATTTCAAATTATGTCTTAAAAGATTGTAATGATTTTAAATTCAGATTGTATTATTTATTAATCAGTAATTTTAATACAATACTCTAAAATGATTTATCTAAACATTGTTATTTTGATTGGTTTAGTTTCGCTAACAAAACAAGCAATAAAAGAGACTCCTTTAGTAAAAAATGCAATTTTTGAGAAGTGTCTCTAATATGAAAACGGAAATTGTAAATTATGTGAAACTTAGACATTTTTGTTCAAATTGCCTCAAGATAATTCAGAATTGGGTTTGAAATAAGGCACAAAAATATGTGTATAATGGTAAATTTAGTACTAATTATTTAATAGTCCATACAATGGGTTCCATGATAAAAGTAATTTATATTGCGGTGATTGTCTTGACAATAGTTAAACTTGGGATTAGACTAGATTATGCACTTATGATTATAAGGCGAAGACAATGTCTGAAGGATCTGTATTCCACAAAGTGAATAGAAGTGCAAAATAGTTGTTTTATGTAATTGAATCTGGTACTAAAGAAGTATTTAAAAATTTCATATTAAGTACACTACTTCAATGTGTGAGGGTTGTGCTAACTTTTGTAAATCCAAGAGCTAAACATGTTTCCCTGTATCGTTATAATATCAGTATGATTTAAACAATCTATTTATTGCGTGTGCAGATGGTATTTCAAAATTTAAAATTAAGGATTCGCATATAATGAAGTAACAAGTGGATGTGATTCTTGTCCTGAAAATTGTTAGTCTTGTGAAATCAATATATAAAGATCAATTGATAGTGATGGGAAAGTCACAATTAATACAAAAAAGGATTGTTTAATTTGTAATAAAGGATTTAGTTTGATGACCACAAGACTAATTCTAAATAGTCCTTAAACATAAAGTTAATGTATTCCATGTTTTCCTGGATGCAATGAATGCTTCTTTGGAAATGATAAAGTCAATTTAAATACTGAACCTTGGGATGATTACAATAATCATTTTGATTTAATTTTACCACCTAATAGTTAACCAACAAGCAATGCTTATATTAAATTAGCATCTCTTGGAATATTATAGAGATGTACAGAATGTGTTAGTACATAATAAAATACTTATGTACCTTCATTGGATAAATTAATGTGTGTTAGATGTGGAACTTCTTGTAAGAATTGTGAATATGTTTCATATACATTATCTGAAAATAAATAGTAAGCTTTAATTTAATGTATATTATAGTCCTACTAGAAACAAAAATACAGTTATTGAGATTACTGACACAACAAAATCTTAATATGTATTGAGATGTAGAGAATGTGAAAGTTATTTTTAAACATTCTCAGCAACAGGAACTAGTTGTGTAGATTGTACAGTTCCCAATTGTAAACTTTGTCATATGATTGGTGATCCTTAAGCTGGAGCAGATAGTTCCTTTTCTACTTTAAATCCAGATTTTTAACCATTAGAAAAGGAAGAATTTGCAAGTGAAAAATGTTTATTATGTAATGATTACTTTTATTTGGATTCTGATGGCAAGTCATGTATATCATATACAGGTACTACACCTGTTTTAACTGATATTCCACTTGCATGTTTGTCATTTTAAAGGGATTCAAATTCTAAACCATAATGTAGAATTTGTGATGTTAAATACACTTTATTATAATCAGAAGTTACAGGTTAATGGGAATGTGAACGAACATGTTAAGAAAAGGTATAAGATTATCTTTGTTAATCTTGTTTATTCATTAATGATAGTTACAGATGTTTATATTGTTTAGATGGTTTTTATGTTGATATTGTAAGTGGTAAATGCCTTCCTTGTTCAGCCAATGGATTCTGCAAAGAATGCTACAGATTTTCACTTCTTAGTATTCACAGAACTGAATATTATTTATATACAGATGATGGTGATTCAAATGTTTATGGTCCTTATTGTTATACTTGTACAGCAGGTGATAATGAGAGAGGTCCTTTTTTGAATGATGAACTTAGATATTGTGAAAAGGGAGGAGAAGCATGTTCAAATTTTTCTGCTAAAGGAAGTCAAGGATATTGTGATTAATGTGATTATACTAAATTGTCGAGTTCAATAGCAAGATCAGCTTCATTAGATGATTCAGATTGTATTGAATGTCCTTAATTTACTGTTGGTTGTAGAATTAGAACAGTTGATGAGATTGCATTAGTTAATAAGTTTTTTAATCCTACAAATTAAAAGTATGAAGAATATTCAAGATTGGCTTTTATTTGTGATTCTAGTTCATCATATTATTTAGATAATAATTTAGGTAGATGTATTGAAAAACTAGAGGGAATAAAAGAATGTGTACGTTCTGATGTAATTGAAATAGAAGCAGATTGCACTCATTATGAAGATGATGTAGATGATAAATGGAAGATTAATTCTTAATTTGGAGATATTACTTAAAAAAATACAATATTTAATTTAGAAGATAAAATAGATATTTTATAAAGAAATTAATTATATACTGATTACAATGAAAAAGTTGTTAGTAAATTAACAATTCATTTAAAATTTAATTATGATGTTGATACTAAAAATAATAAATGTTATTTCTAAAAAAATACATATTTTACTACTAATTTTAGAAGAAATGTATTTACTTTATAAGAGATTGAACTTCATATATCAGTTATTGGGGCTCCAGAAACAGAAAAGATATAATGGTATGTGTAAAATACTATTTATTTTGAATATTTTACAACTGTTAAATTGAGTTAGATTGAAATTCTACCTGCTACTGATTTAGATCCATTAAATATGTATTCTAATGTAATGAAATATGAAAAACCATTTGGATTTGAATTTCTCAAAAATGATGGTTCTAAATTAATTTTAGAAAATGTTAAAATTGGAAATGGATTAGCATAAGATCATTATCAATCTTTGTAATATACTACTTCTTATAGTGATATATCACATAGCCTTAAAAAATATAAACCTTTTTATACTATTCTTCTTAATACATATGATATTTAATTCTATAATGTATTAATTACATCATAAAATTATTTATTAGGAAGTGATGTAGCTTTCTAAGCTTAACCTTTTGGACTCACTTATAATGAGGATATTAAATTACCATATTTTAATATTAAATTAGAGAATGTAAAATTCTAAGATTTCTCTGTTGAAAGTTAAGCCATATTTGAATTATAAGATATAACTCTCATTACTCAACCAGAATGGAATAGTAAAATCTATCTAAAAAATGTAATCTTCAATGATGCTTATTTTATAAATGATGGTGCATTCTTAAGTACATAAGTCTAAAAAACTTCTACAGGTATGATTTTAATAGAAAATCTAAATTTGAATAATGCTGAATACAATAATTCAAGAGGTATTGTGAATTTTCAAACTATGTAAAAAATATCTGTATCTGGTTTTGAAATGACAAATAGCAGAGTTAATTATACATCTTTATTCTATATCACAACCATTGATATTAATAGAGTTTATATTTACAATACTACTTTTACATATTTTGGTAAAATATTTGAAACTTAATTTGACATCATAACTATAAGAGCTAATGATCCTGAATTCTCTGGTCTCAAACTTAAATTTTAAGATATGGAATTTGTTGAAATTAATTGTTTATATCCTGCTTGTATTATGTTATTATAAACAATTAAAAATGATTATGAATTACCATTAAATATTAGTATGAAAAATATTAATGTTTAAAAAATAAAAACTTATGGTTTTAATGAAACAATTGTAGAAGCTGCAACTAGTGCTGCTATTCAAGTTTAAAAGTCACATACCTTATT